TTCTCTCTCTCTCTCTCTCTCTCTCTCTCTCTCTCTCATATCAACCACCCTCTCTCTCTCTCTAAGTATCAACTCCCCCCCTCTCTCTCTCTCTCACACACACACAAAACATCAACCACCCTCTGTAATGTGCTTCCCCAACTGTCCCAACATCCCATATATTTCCTTCCAATCAGGGTGCCTCCTATCACAAGCCAAAAATTCCCACACTCTCTCATCAACCTCAATCACACTACATCCAACACTTTTCCTCTCCTCTTTCTCTATCATCAACCCTCTCATTCCCTCCACATCACCCCACCTCCCTTCTCCTGCATATGCATTCCTCAAACCAACCCAATCCGCAACACTCCAACCCTCTCTTCCCAATCTCCCCACCACTCTCTCTGCCCTCTTCACATCCCCATAACACCTGCAAGCAAAGAGCAAAGAGCTCCAAACCACGTCATTCCCTTCAAATGGCATTCTCTCAATTAATTCCTCAGCCTCATCCAAAAACCCAGCCCTCCCCAATAGATCAATCATGCACCCATAGTGCTCAATTTCAGGTGCAACCCCAAAATTTTCTCTCTCATCATAACCACTTATTCTCTCTCTAAAATTCATCTTCCCCTCTTTAGCAATGAGAATAATTCTCCCATGTCTCTCATCATCCCCTCTCATCATCTCTCCATATATCCCCTTACTTTGTCTGACCCCCTCAGAGGCTCTCTCTCCGCTGCACATATCTTCTCTCTCATGACCCAACTTCACCTTCTCTCTTAATTTCCTTTTCCCATCATCCTCTCTCTCAGCACCTCCCCTCACCACCTCTCCCAACACCACCTCCCCCTCCTTTCTTTCTCTAACCACCTTCAACATGCCTTCAAAGATCCTCTTCCCTTCCTCCACCAACCCCGCGTGCCCGCAAGCCCTAAGAACCACTACCATTGTTGCCGCATTAGGCCTCACCCCTTTCTCCCTCATCTCCGAGAAAACTATCAAAGCCTCCCTCCCCCTCCCATTCACTGCTAAACCGCCAATCAAAGCATTCCAAGTTCCTGTTTCTCTATTCACCATCTCATCGAACACTCTTCTTGCCTCATCGATGTCCCCACACTTCGCATACATATCCACTAACGTTGTGCAAAGCCTAACGTCGTGAGTAAATCCCATTCGTCGAGCATAGGCATGGACCCACTTGCCAAGCCTTAGCGCACCCACATCCGCTATGGCTGGAACCAAGCTCCTCACCATGTTTGCATCTGGGTCCAAAGTCGAGCTAACTTGAAATTCTCTGAATAATTCAATGGCCAAGCTTGGCTCTCTGTTTTGCCTATACCCACTAATCATAGCACTCCAAGAAACTGAATTTTTCTCAGGCATTTGATCAAACAAAACCCTAGCTCTGTCGAGAGCTCCAGCTTTACAGTAACCAGTGATCATGGTGGTCCAAGAAACCACATTTCTCTCAGGCATTTCATCAAAGACTTCCTTTGCAGAAGTCATATCCATGGCCTTGACATACCCATCAATCATGGCATTATAAGCAATGAGGTCCTTATCAGGCATGGCTCTAAATAAATTTTCAGCCATGGCCATGTCTCCAGCTCTGGCAAAAGCAGCAACAATGGTGGTCCATGAAACCAAGCTTCTCTCTCTCATGTCTTCGAAAAGTCTTTGAGCTTCGATCAAATTTCCAAATTTTGAATACATATCGACCATAGCAGTAGAAGCAAAGAGATCAAACCGAAATCCAAGTTTGAATACATGGGTGTGGAGTTGCTTCCCTTCATCAATGGCTGAGTTGGTAGCACAGGATTTGACCAAAAATGGAAAGGTGTAGCAATCTGGTCTGAAACCAAAAGTTTTTTGTCGGTTCAGTGTTTTGTAGAGAGAGAAAGACTCATGGAATTGGTTATGGAGAGTGTGGGCTCTGATCATGGAGTTGCAGAGAAATGGGTCTTGAGAGAGGCGGCAATCGAAGGCCTTTTGAGCATGCCGGATTCCATCAAGTGGGTGCCGGAATCCAGAGGCTTCTGATAAGGCGGCGATGAATTTGGTGAGAAGAGAGAGATTGGTTTCCAAGCCATTTCTGAGCATGTGGGCATGGATTTGGAAGAGAGAGAGAGGATTGTTGGTTCTCTTGAGGAGAGAGATGCAGTGTTGCTCTCTTGGGCTCCATCCTTGGTTGCTCATGGTTGGGTGTGGTTCAGAGAGAGAGAGAGTCAGGAAATTCATGTTGGTTTTAGATTATAGAAATTGGGAGGAAACTGGAAGCATTGCATTGCGATATCGAGAGAGGGAGAGAGTCAAGAATTCATGTTGGTTTTAGATTATAGAAATTGGGAGGAAACTGGAAGCATTGCATTGCAATATCGTGAGAGAGAGAGATTAATAGCTGCAGAGAGAGCTCACGCACTGACTTGATCTAGAGAGAGATAGTTAAGATTTTCATATTGGGCGATCATTTTTTGCCACTTTTGCATAAATCCATGTGGGGGATTCACAGTTTGAACCTAATTGAGAGAGAGAAAAACAGTACAGGTTTTAGACCCGGACGAGACTTTTCGGATCCAAAATTTCGACCCATGCCCATCGGGTCTCAAGTCTACCCATTAGGTCCTGGGTCTGGTTAGATCCCAGGTTTACCGGTCGGGTACCTGGTCAGGTCAATTGCCAGCCTATAACAATGAGCTTCTTTCTGTTTATTTTTTTATTGTTTCTGCCCTTTATTTTAGGCATCATATCCCATATTATTTGCAGTATTTAGATTATTGCACAAGATTTATAAATACTCACATATACCTACATTCTAACTGAAAATTCCTAATAAACAAACATATTGGCGACATATATAAATACCCATATTATTTGGGTCGGGCTGGGATTTGGGTCCAGTTAGGTCGGGCCTGCTTAGACCTAATAGTATCCAGATCAAAGTTTTTGACCCAGACCCAAAATCGTGTCTACCCGTCGAGTCTCAGATCTGGTTGGGTCCATTCCCACCCTTAAAAAGCAGACGTTTCAAGCTGCAGAGAGAACTCACATACTAACTTTTTGGACGACGTAGAGAGAGAGCCACAATGCTAATTTATATTATGGTCCTATGTTCCTAAGTTCCAATGATTTTCCTTCAGAAAAATAGAGAATAGCAGATTCAGATATCTTCCTTTTATGAAGACGAAAGTAAAAAACAGGTTTATAGCCACAAATAAAAACAGAGCCATCTTTTAATTGCCCAAAATTTGAATGAACCTTTTCCTTTGGTGCCATAACAAAACATTGCCACAATTTGTCTGAGATGTTAAATTGGTTGAAACTTGAAACTTCTGTACAAATTTTAACACTGAAAATTGTTGTTTGCGTGGACGCGTTCCTACATTTGCATCCCCCAAATCATAAAATATCCATTATAAAGATGGACGCAAATCGGTGTTCCCTCCCCAAAAAAGTTAAACCCAAAGGACTAAATATTTTCTTCCTAAAATTTTCATATTTAGTTTCTATAATTACGTTTTTTTTATTCATGATCTCCATATTAGAGATACGTTCCTTAAAACTTAGGTTTTAAAATAAAAAATGGATTTCACAATGTTTCTAAAGAGCATCTAAGGGCCAGAACATGTTAGGCTAGGGCTGGCTCAAGTCAAGCCCAAGACCCTCCGAGGCTAGAGCAGATTGGGGCAAAGGGACCCTAGTCCAATTCTAGCCCTTCTCTTGGACTAAGGGGCACACTAAGGGGCACGACACTGATTTATTAATGAGTGGGTCCAGGCCGGGCTAAAACCCTTGGCTCAGCCCAACCCTGCCCGAACATAGGCCTGGATTTCAGGACCATGTTCAAGCTGTTCCGGGACAAGCCGATGGCCCATTGCCAACCCTAGGTGCCTCAATTCTGAGGCTTGGTTGATGTGCCTGCCTATGCTACACCTTCGGACTTTAGACCACTGTTTTTTCAAATCACTTGAGACACAGATAAGGACAACACCAATACCAAAGGAAAAAAGAAACATTGGAATTCTGAATTTACAGAAAGAGAGAGAAACATGGTGATATAATTTATTCAGAAATGTAGGAATCACTGCAAGGCTGAACATATATGAACAATCATTATATAATCGAGAGGTGCTTTTCATCTCTAAACTTTGATCAAGAAACTAATACCGGCCCCTCGTTCCTCTTTAATAGTGGCTTAATGTTCCAAAAAAAAAAGAAAAAAAGAAATGGATACAGGAATAAGTTCAAAGAACAACTCTATACTGTGTAGTGTTGATTTATAGCATCGATGTCCAGTCCCTTGAGTTTTGCAAATGATTCCACTCTGCCTTTCAGAGTATGAAGCTCCCTCAGTCTACCAAAACCAAAAAAACAGTAACTAAATCAGTATGAACGCACGCAAAGACGTACTTCAATTTTATGCAATCTCTCTCTCTCTCTCTCTCTCTCTCTCTCTCTCAAAACAAGCACAAGCACTCTGAAGAAAATAATTATGAAGAAAGGGAAAAACAAGGAACACCTACCTTGCGATCTCGGCACGCCTCTTTGCCTCCTCTGCCATGAGATTGATGTCCCTGAAAGTGGTTCTCTCACTAAACGTTTTAGTCTCAACAGATTGCAGGCCATGTAGGGTTCTTTGCTCATGTGCCCATGCAGCCTCACGAGCTTCACGCCCAAAGTCCTTCTTGTTGGTAAATGCCGTCTGAAACAAAAAATGGCAGTGAGAAACAAGGTATCAACAATGATCCTCTCTCTCACACACACACACTCCCATGCACTCGCACATGCGTGTACACAAAAACTACATACCCTCTGGTTGAGGACTAAGTCCCAGGCTTTTCCACTGAGGCTGTAGCGTACGCAAATCTTAATAACATCAAGGAACATGTAAGTCACAATGTTGTAGAGCCAAATAACACCAGTCCATCCCCAACCAATCTTCCTGATACCAGCAGTCTTCCAGGTTGCAAGGGCGGCTATCACAGTGGCTATCTGAAGAGAAGTTTAAACGTTAGCCGCCAAAATCACTTGATGAAGCTTAGTTGACCATAGTGATAAATATCTCCTTTTCCATCATAAAGACAAGGAAATAATATGCTAAAGGTTTAATTTAAGGGACCATTTGAAAGTAGACTTAAACAGCATGAACATGAGATGCCACTTTATGTGAAAGGTATGCAAACTCCATGAACATAAACTAGCCAGTAATATTCACATGAAAGTTGCAAATAAAATTAGGTGCTCAGTTTTCTATGATAAATGTATTATAAACTAATGTAAAAAAAGTTCCTGATTAATGTTATGAAATCATTAATATTGAACTAAAGTTCAAAGAGAAATGGGGATAAAAAAACTCCATACCAATTGAGCAATCACAAAGGCGATCACAAGTAGCAGACCAGGTCGTTCGAGGAAAGACCAGCCCCTTGAGCGAGTGACAAATATCAAGGCCTGACTGATGGTGCTCACTTGTAGATACACAGCAGAAGCCAGCCTTTCAGTGTTGTGATCTTTATCTTGTTGTGAGATTTGATCCCTCTTCATAAAGCTTTTGACACCAAAGTTGTGCTGATAAAATAGAAGACATCAAATGGTAAAAGCCTCAGTCTCTGGAGAAATGCCCTGATGAATAGCTGACAATAAAACTCTATGCTGCAGAAGAAGAGCGGTACCACCTAAAATTATCCAATAGGCCTTGGAAAAACCACAATTGTTGGGTCATCACCATCCATAGACACAATGAATGGTGATGGAGACAGAATGAGACACGATGTGGAGGGTTTTAGTCTCTCCACCATCCATTCAGCAAAAGTGGTGATATATTTGATGATGTTTTTCCCATTGTCTGTTGGATAATAGTAGACTAACTGCCATGATAACATACATTCAAGGAAAAACACTAAAATCTAGCAGGGACTCTAATCACATGGACCAGTATCACATTAGTGACCACTTAGTGCAGATAAACCAAAGTTTGATATGATACATTGAAAAATGGAGTTTCATAGGCTGCCCAAAAGAATATAACAGTCATCAGAGCCAGATAACTGCCAAGAACAACTCCTGTGGCAAAGATTTCTGACAGTTTCCAACTGTCAGGAACTGGTGAAGGCTTGACCCTGTCCTTTGAGATGGTCATTATAGTACCTGCAAATGAATTCCACCAAATTGAATTACGAACTCTATAAATTAAAATATCACTCCCAAAGACTAGGTTTGAAAATTTAGTTTTAGTAGACAGATCCATATATATCATACAACACTGATATATTATGTGCGGTAGACCATGATAACATCAACAGTTCTTAATGATGGATGGTGGAGATTAACAGTAGCCCCCCAATGATGGACATTCATGTGGGTGTCATTAATCTCCAGCATCTGTCATCAGGATTGAACAATGTCCCCATTGCATTCCAAATTCCATACAACAGGAATGTATGATATACTTCCCCTATGACTTGATCTTTTGCTAATCAGCAGGTTAAAGTAACAAACCCTGACAAATGAAATACAATGTTGTAAATTGTGCCAAAGGAAAGAAACAGAGAAGGCCAAGGCAAGAGAAATTTCGCTAACCATCATTTAGAATGGCAATCACAAGAACCATGAAAGGAGGGAAGTTGAACTTCCAGAAAACTGTGAGCAACATGAACCCTAGCTGTTTCATTTATGACATTTAAAAAATAACCAAAACAAGCAATTAGAGAAAGGCAGATGATAAAATGGAAAAAAAATGAAGATAATTGCACAGTGGATTTTAATGAGGTGTATTTCCAATAAATTCCTAACCTTCTTTACTGTTTAGACTAACAGTACTCATTTTATAAGCTCTAGTAAGAAACTGCATAGTTTCGAGACCTACCACAATACGTATTGTGATCGAAACAGCATATATCTGCACAACAAAAATTTAGGGGTGAGAAGTGTTAATACCCTTATTGTAGACCTTACTATTCAAGGGACTCCAACGTAACATGCAAACACACAACATATAGCCCTGTGCCTCATGCACACACACAAGCATTGGCTGTAATGTCTAAGACCCAATTACCGTATAATTCTTCATCCTCTGAAAAATGGCACGGCTGGTCAGAACAGCACTGATGATGACGCTCAATCCTGGCTCTGTTAGGACTATGTCAGAGGCGCTTCGAGCTGCATCGGTTGCGTCTGCCACTGCAATTCCTATATCTGCCTTCTTAAGTGCAGGTGCATCATTGACCCCATCACCTGTCATTCCACATATGTGCTTCCTAGCTTGCAATTTCTTCACAATCTCGTATTTGTGCTCTGTTATCAAAACATTTCATGAGAAAAGCTCTTTATATATTAAGATAGATGAGTGAAGAGGACTGCCTGTCTACTTTTCTTCTTTTTGTTGGAAGGATGGCCTAGAGTCCTAAAACACAGTCTACAACCTGTGCAATGCATAGGCATGCAGTTGATAATAAATGCTGGGGAAAGAGAGAGAGAGAGAGAGAGAGAGAGAGAGAGAGAGAAGAGAGAGAGAGAGAGAGAGAGAACGGACGACGTACTACTAGTAGAGTACTACTACGTACGTGGTACGTAGTAACGTAAACGTAAACGTAAAACGTAACGTAACGTAAACTAAACGTTAA